AAATATAGGCTCATTTGTCTTTCTGATTCAGACATAAATATATGTTTTCTTTCCAAAATATAGGCTCATATGCCTTCCTTTTCAAAGATATATATATATATATATATATATATAATATATAATATATATATATATATATATATATATATATAATATATATATATATTATATATATATTATATATATATATATATATTATGTTTTTCGTTCAAAAATATAGGCTCACATGCTTTTTCTTTTCAAACATAATACACTTATTTTTTTTTTTCTAACATAAGTAATTAAGTATAAGTATTTTCTTTCCAAAACATATTTTTTTATATACTTTTATTTCCAACATAGATACTGTAACATCCAAAGATTCAATAAATTTAAAATTTTTCAAAACAACCATTTTACTAGTAGAAGTGTTACAAAACCATTGGTTTCAAAATATTATTTAGAATAAGAGTCTCCCAAGATCAAATTAGTTGAAAACCAAGGATGTGTACGGTCACGCATTCGCCTCGCCACGGTCCACTAAAGTACTTTGAACCATAAACCAAAACTATAAACACGAAACTTAGTGAGTTCTCCCAAAATACAACCACACAAACATACAACATATACAAACAAGAATGCTCAAATACTCATGCCTGGCCCAATCAACCTTGGGCTGGAATACCAGGCATGTCTACGATGGGTCCAGTCATCCTCGGGATGGAATACCCTCGTAAGCACATATACAAACACTTATGCCTTGCCCAATCAGCCTCAGATTCGAATACCAGACATGTCCACGATGGGTTTAGTCATCCTCGGGATGGAATACCCGTGTTTCATAAGCATGTTGGCACAATCAGCCTCGGGCTGGAATACCAACATGTCGGGTCTAATCAGTCTCAAGCTGGAATACCCTTAGTATGTGGACTGACACACAGAGTAGTCCAGTCTCACCATACACCATTAACATGTGGACATGTGCATAACAGTTAAACAAATAACCAACCAACAGGTAAACAAATAACATATCTATAGGTCACTAATGCATGCTAACATCCTACATATCAGGATACATAACAAAATGGGTCGATATTGGTGCCTTCGGCCATGGATACAGTGAGGAAAACTCACCTCTTGATTCGATCCATAGCTAATGAGGTCCCGACTTCGAATCTCAGCTCCAACCAACACCTATCCATCCAAGTGACCAATCACAACCAAATTCCCCAAATACCCTTGAGGTTAACTTGGTCAAAGTCCATAAGTCAACTGATCAAACCAACTAGGTCTACCGAGTCAACCCAACCGAATCAACTCAGACTGCGTACGCGGGGTGTACTCCGGAGGTATGCTGGGCGTACATGCAGCCTCGCAATTGACCACCATCAGGGTGGTTGACCGAGTACGCGGGACGTACCCTCACAAGCCTAAAATCCAATTTAAGAGCTTAATTGCTTAAGCTCTTGCGTCCAAACTTCAGATCCATGGCCAAAATACTCTTAGGAGTCATAAAGTTTCCAACTTTATGACCTAACATGTCCAATAATTGCTTAATTTAAAAAACCCTAAGTTCTTAACAGAATAAGACATCACAACTCTTGCATGGAAGGGATAGAAGGGAGAAGATCACATTTTTATAGTTCATAATAACTTTATAATGGATAAAGTTTCCAACTTTATCCATTAGAATGGTCCCAACAAACAAGATGTAGTCTTTAAGCCTCAAAGGGACCCAAAAGTTCATCTTTTTTCTACTTAATCCATTAAGTACAAGTCTCCAACTTTCAGATTTGAATCAAAATAATGTTTAGATGGATAAAGTTTCCAACTTTATCCATAACAAGGTCACCAACTTTCATGATCTAAACATTATGCACTAAAATGAACAAAAGCTCATAACATCTAAAACTAGTTAGATCTAACAAATTCATCATAAGATTTAAGCTTTATACCTCTAGAAGATAGATCAAGGTGAAGAAAGTACATATCTACAAGCTCCAATAAAACTAACACTTCTCCAAGAGGTTCATTCTTCTCCAAGGTGCACCATGCATACTCCATAACAGGCAAAAGACACCTTCTTTTAGAACACAATGCACAATTAGGGTTAAGGTTTCATGGAAAGGGTGTTGGAGGGGTGGAGGCTGAGAATGGAGTGGGTTTGGGGAGTTAAGGAGCTTAAATAGGTCTCAAACCACGAAAATAAGGTTTAGGCACTGATCGCGTATGGCCAACATACTCTTGGTACGTCCAGCATGCTCAGGGTGCCTCAGTATGCCCAACATACTCCCCTCTAGACGCCCAGTGTACTCAGCATAACCTAAAACCGACCAAACTTCTAACATACATAACTTCTTCGTTCTAACTCCTATTTTGATGTTCTTTATTTCCACAAAAAGGTAACGAGAAGGTCTACACTTTTATCAATTCATCCTTGTCTTAAACCTTTCTGAACAAAAATCCAAAATTCATAAAAGGCTCAACTGCCACTTTACGATTATACCCTTGGGCTCCCAAATCACAAACCGAATTCCCAGATCATCTATCATACCTTATCCATACACAAATAGGTCTAAATATCTCTTTCTT